TCTTCTGATAATACATCCAAAGTAAGTGATTAGAAGTCTCAGACAATACTCTGTTGGGATCCATAGGGTTTTCATTGGTTAATTTTCTGAAGTAGTTCACCAGGCCTTTCCTCCTGGTCTGTCTTAGTCTGGAAGCTCCACTGAAACTTGCATGGGTGACCCTGCTGCTATTCAGAATAACAGTGACACAGCTGCCAGCATCACAAGCTACCACCACCACATACAAGCCACCTTGTAGTCTCTATCTCACTCTGTCTCTCTCTCCTCCTTCACAGCTGCCCATGATGGGAGGTGCTTTCATGGACTCACCCAATGAGGACTTCAGTACTGAGTACTCCCTCTTTAATTCTTCCACCAATGTCCACGCAGCCTCCAGCGGCCAGCCAGAGGAGCCCCCACGGTCCTCCAACGACGCTGTCCTGCTCTGGATTGCCATCATAGCAACACTGGGGAACATTGTGGTGGTGGGGGTGGTGTACGCCTTCACCTTCTGAGGGGTGGTCACCCTGGGCCAAGCACAGGGCTGGGCCAGGCTTTGTACTTGGCCATGTCTTGCTGTCACTGTTCCGTTGCTTCCATGTTGTAGAACTGGAAATGCTGGCCAGGCACATGGTCTCTGCAGGCGCAGCGACCACATGTCCATAATTTCTCCCAGCGGCCCTGGTTTCAAATAGCCAATCGTAGGGTCCAGCTGGTTCTGAACACACATGGGAACATGGGTGTCCAACTCCCAGGGCAGGACCGGGCAAGGCCTTGAAGAGCAGTGTTCCAAGAAATGAGACAAGATGGATCCTCTGGTTACGTTTAAAATAGAGATGTGGTTTGTTGGTCTGGGGCAGCAGTAATGTCTCTTGTATCTTGTTTTTATGGAAATGTATCAAGCCTGGTGGACTGCTGCCATGCCGAAGCCGTTCTCAGAAAGGTAAAGCTCCCAGCCAACCCTGGTTCTCCAGTCAGCCCCTTGAAGTATTGCTGTTGGTCACTTGACGGGCCATAGAATGCTCTAGTGTGACTTAGAAAAGCCACCCTCATCACTCCAGATGCCCAAGCACACCAGGAAACCTGGTGATGGGCATGACTGTGTGCAGTGGAGTTTCTGGGGGTGCTGGGGTGACTTTAATCTGCAGGATGGACTTCCTCCTCCTTTTTAGGAAGAAGAGAGGTCATCTTTACAAATTCAACCCACCAAGCAGCCAGTTCACCTTCCAGGCTACCAAGGTGAGGACACTCTTCTCTGAAAAGTCACAGGATTTTTGAGATGAATAAACTGGGGTGC